GTAGTCATCTTTGTGAAGCCATTCGAAGTAACAGCGATCTGACTGGATATGGCATTTTCACCAAAAGGGATACAACTCGTGTTCTACACGGGATGGCTCCGCGATCGAGCCAAGAAAGTAAGTTGGGAATTTCAAGGGTAGAAACTGGGCTTGGATATAAGCTAGTGGACACTCTCGCCTTGGGAAGATTGAGTCCATCATGCCCCGACACAATCAGACCTGAACAGGGCCAACTGACAAACAGCTGACAGACTGGTACAAGCTTTACAAAAGAAACAAAGTACCAATAAATACTTGCTCAATAAACATAGAAATATTTACAAGTTTATATTATCTGTACACTACAAACCTTAATAACCAGTTTTAACATTACACTTTTCCGGATTTTAACATCTTTGGGATTATGACAACCTTAGCACTTATTAAACAAACATGCAAAACATATTTAGAAATATATTTAGGTATTATTAGCGTACTTACAAAATTTTGGGGCCTTTTACCAACGTAAATTCAAATTTCCATCTCAATAGACTATCGCAGCAGACGTCAGATGTGCTTTCATAACTAATGATCCGGATCATTCTCCGGGTCAAACCTTATGAACTTCTCAAATTAACTGAAAATACGGAAAGAAGCTCTCGTAAAATGATATCTAACAAAAAATGCTATCCTACAACTACCATCGCAGATGACCTGGTCGATCAGAAAGCGAAAGGATTTGAGATTTCATTCCTTACAGACAAACAAAATGACAAGATTGAGACGATAAATATAGTCATCACTGTCTCATTTCGATCTTACAATACCAGAGGCATTCTTAATGCAAGTGAGACTACACAGTATCAAGTACCACTGCATATCGCGGCAACATGAAACGCTCAGCAGTTTATCTTGATGTCCTGGAACAGGTAAATAAATGTGAGCCAGCACCTCGAGAAACATATCCGAAGTTTACAGAGGTTAAGTGCCATGCAGATTTACACTGATGGCCCACTGTCTGGTCGTGTTGGTGCTGGTATATTCATCGTTAATGAAATGAGAGAACTTTCTATCCGATTGGCTGATTATCAGTATTTTCTGCTGAACTAGGAGCAATCATTGAAGCATTGCGTTGGATTATTAATTTTTTAAGGCCTGTTTCGGCGGTAATTTTCAGTGACTCTGTTAGTGCATTGCAAGCAATTCGGGTAGGTTCTTCCTCAGCGAGACAGGTCTTGATCAACATAATTCTCGTCCTTTATAATGACTTAAGTGAAGATCTGTTAGATGTTGAATTTTCATGGATCCCTGCTCATGTTGGATTACTTGGAAATGAGAAAGCTTCAGGGTCATTATTGCGACGAGTCTTGGATTCAAACCTAAAAACCGCGTACCCTGGCTGGTTTGACAATTTCACCCGTACAACCTCTCCAGTAGGTAAGAAATGGCATGTTGAATGTCACTGTCACTATAAAACACTATATTTTGAATTATTCTTGCTCAACAGGCAACTTTGATTTAAATATATAAACCTTTATTCCTGCAATATTATCTATTCATTTGTGCACACAATGTTGATATTACAGGAGCAGGGACATATAACCAAGAATGTGTGGTTCGAACACACAACCAGCGGATCCTGGAGACACACGCACACGCACGCACACACGCACGCACGCACGCACGCAGATTGAACTCTAGGCACCGTGTTTTGATGGTTGTTAGGGTTATCGATGATACACTTGTTTTATACATTAAATCATTGATATCGTACCATCGTTCCTCCTACATGTACGTACCTACATAAGGTGCTTGTACCCCCTACGGTTGTCGTCATGCCACCATGGAACTCCCGCAAGCAGACAAAACTGTCGCAGTCTTGATCAATCACCACATTCCCGATTCCTGCAGAAGAAGGCTCGTGTAATACATGTATGTAGACGTGTAACCACAGCGTGCTTTGGTTTGTTTGTTTGTTTGTTGTTTAACGTGGCACTCAGCAATATTCCAGCTATATGACGGCGGTCTGTAAATAATCGAGTCTGGACCAGACAATCCCGTAATTGACATCATGAACATCAATCCATGCAATTGGGATCGATGACATGCATCAACCAAGTCAGCGAGCTTGACCACCCGATCCCATTAGTCGCATTTTACGACAAGCATCGTCGCCTTTTACGGCAAGCAGCGGTTGCCGGAGAACTATTCTACCCCGGAATCTTCACGGGTCTTTGGAGTAAGTGCGTAATTCATTATGTGGGAAGGTAAAATGGGGTGCGTGCTTGTCTGTTTGTTCTAGTCCGGACAAATACCGGTTATATTCATAGCGAACTGAGACACAATGTCACTATCAAGCTTTCATAATTAACCGCAGTTAGTACTGCAGGAGTTATCGCCGATACCAGCAAGATAATATTTTACAACGCTTTTTTGGTTTATATCGTTGTTGACTAGTTAGGTCCCATGTATTCTTTGGTATGAGTTTTTCATGGACACCCCACCTCCACACATTATACTCCAGGCCGATCAGCCCTAATGTGATCCCTTCATGTCGAGCGCCAGGCAGACGAGTGTAACAACAAGTACCATCCTGTAACGTATTTCTGTATGACGCCGCCGGCGGGATCGAACCAGAGACCTTCCGCTCTATCCACTAGGCCACAGTAGCAGGCCATTGTGTGGGAAAGATGAACACAAAATGGAATGCCGACCATTTAATATCCTTTGTGTACATCTTACCGAACTGTTTAAATAGCGTTCCTCGGACAAACCCTTTTTTTCTCAATATGAAATTATATATGTTAACGAGGTCCGACAAACCCACGAAGATCGAGGAATAATATAATTCGTGTGCATGCTAATGATAAATCAATTTATCTGTAATGGACACTTATAGAACAATTTTTGTGTAGGGTTATTAGATTTAATTACAGTAAAACAAATAAAAATGTTTCAGAAAGAGTTGGTTGTAATGATAATATTCTTTAGATTCATCTTCCTAGAACAATTCGCTTCTGATACTAAGCTTATTATAGAAATTTAAAACGTCAACGACAAAGAATAATCAATCTTCATTATCTGCCGAGACAGATTCCATTGGGCAAAAATAGTGATGACAATTATGTGAATGGATCAATGAAAATCATGCCCTGCTCCACCCGTGGTGACCGCCTCCGTGGTCTAGTGGTAGAGCGTCCGCCCGGAGAGCGGAAGGTCCGGGGTTCGATCCCCGACCGCGTCATACCAAAAGACGTTAAAATATGGTACTTGTTGTTACCCTGTCTGGCGCTCGGCATTGCACGTCGCTATATAAGTGCAATAATCTTGGACGCGACGTTAAACCCAATTTCACCTCACCTCACCTCACCTCACCTCACCTCACCTCACCTCACCTCACCTCACCTCCACCTGTGGTATCCGCCACTCACGCAATCTGCATAAAGCGTGAGTGTGATTTAGTTGTTGCCCATTGCTTTAACGAAAGTTTTACATACGATCCACACATGGATACTGTGAATAGAATAGTTTTTGCAGCATATTCCAGTGTGCATAAGAAATCTCCGACAACATCATAAACACGTGTTTATGAATCAAATAGTTAAGATACTAGGTGTTCACGGAAAAGTGCGCTTATCCTGCCCAATCGGTGGCACCCGTCCGAACACGAGAGCGTATGGTTAAGTCAAAATAGGGAATTGCACCGGACATCATATTTGTTACAGATGCCCTGAAACACTTTTGTCACTGAAACTCTCAAACACTCACCCGTGAACAACACAATGATGTACAACCATCCGCTCTTGGTTAAAGTCATCTGAACCATTACTGTTGTACTGAGTGGGAAACAGGAGGGTTGTCAGCAGTGTAGAACTACCTCGATTATATTGATGTTAACACTGACACCGTAGACCTGATACCACAAGTATGTACTGGTATGGTGAAGACAATGGCTGGTATCTTGATAATATTGGAAACCAGTCAACCGTCCTTTGGACTGGTTGATCTTGGAACGAAGATGTGAACTTGATATGATATGCACGCCATCCTGAACAAAATACTTGAGGTAATACACAATGTACATGTTTATGTTCATTTGCCCCGTTGACAACGGCGGAGATATAGTTCTGTGTTGTAATGGGAATGACTTCTGTTTAATTTAATGTGTATTATACAAGGATAATTCAGGCGTATTGTTGGTACATTTTGGCCAATACAGCGAAGTGTGTTAGAGCATTGCAAAGTTTAATCATCAGACTGGAAATACGAGGGCTGATAAAAAAATTCCAAGCCTGACCAATTGTCAACTATGGGCAAGAACAAAGTGAACTAGTCAATGTAGTCCATTGTTTCAGTAGTTCATTGCAAGTGTATTTGGTCTGTTCAGGCCGTTTTTATATCTGTTTGTTTGTTGTTTAACGCCACACTCAGCAACATTGCAGCTATATGACGGCGATCTGAAAAATAATCGTATCTGGGCCAGACAATCCAGTGATTGACAGCATGAGCATCGATCCACACAATTGGGATCGATGACATGCATCAACCAAGTCAGCGAACCTGATTTTCCGATCCCGTCAGTCGCCTTTTACGACAAGCATGGGTTGCTGAAGACCTATTCTACAACGGAATCTTCACGGGTCTGATATAACAAATACACTGAACTGTTCAACAGTGCCGACGACACATCACCGGGCATAAAATCTAATAAGATTGAAGCCACCTATGAATAGCAAGTTAAATTAAAAATGGGGGGGAGATTTTATTCTGGGGGCGAATATATTTCGTGACACCGGCTCGGAGTCAGTATAAAATATTTTTGGGGTATCTCAGCGGGCTTGCCTCCATAACTCCGGACTGGTACAAACAGCCACATAAATACATGCATGCACCAATCTTACGTCAATGAAGTAAACTTCATTTAACGCCTGTTTGGTTTATAGATTCGCCCGTTTCCGTGCACCGGTCGATGAAGTTAGATACTCAGAAGTTTTAGTGTCCAAAGCATTCACTACATCTGGCGCTTTGAGGACGGAAGACTTGAACGGTTAAGGATCCGTAACAAGGTAGTGTATGCTTATAGCATGTCGTCCAACTGGAACTAGTGGTGCTAATCACGGGTTTTAAGTTGATGGTGGCTCTCATTCTGACGTGAATACAAGTAAATGTGTGTGTGTGTGTGTGTGTGTGTGTGTGTGTGTGTGTGTGTGTGTGTGTGTGTGTGTGTGTGTCTGTCTGTCTGTCTGTCTCTGTGTGTGTCTCTGTGTGTCTGGATGTCCGGATGTAGGAACGTCGACTAACGAACGAATCTCATTGAAATCAAATCTATTACTCCGATACGATATCTCCAATCGTGAACTTTCAAATCGATTAAGTGAAGCATTCAGAGACGCATATCTAGTTTCTGTATCTTGATAGCAAATATAACCGGAGTGTTCCGTTTCCAACTAAAGTATGATATTGTTGTGTATAGTTTACATATTCTGCTCAAACTGAGCACTGCCTCCATGGTCTAGAGGTAGAGCGTCCATCCGGAGAGCGGAAGGTCCTGGGTTCGATCCCAAAAGACGTTAAAAGATGGCACTTGTTGTTACCCTGTCTGGCGCTCGGCATTAAGGGGCTAACCTAGGACTGGTCGGCCCGGAGTCAGTATACTGTGTTTGAGTGTGTGTTTGTGTGCAGAGTTTGTGAGGTGAGGTGAGGTGAGGTGAAATGGGGTTTAACGTCGCGTCCAAGATTATTGCACTTATATAGCGACGTGCATGTACGTGTGTGTGTTTGTATTAGTCCGGACTGATGCCGATTTATAGTGCTAGCTCACTGAGATACCATGCCGCAGTTTAACATGAATACCCCACTCAGACACAGTTTACTGACTCCGAGCCGACCAGTCCTTGTTTTAGCCCCTTAATGCCGAGCGCCAGACAGGGTAACAACAAGTACCATCTTTTAACGTCTTTTGGTCTTTTGGCATGACGCGGCCGGGGATCGAAACCCAGACCTTCCGCTCTCCGGGCGGACGCTCTACCATTAGACCACGGAGGCGGTCGTAGAGTTTGTGTGTCACGCAGCAGGTACTTGACAAGTGAAGCTGACACTTCGAATAATTGTTTCCTCCAGTGATGACACCTAATTTCGTTCATGTGGGACCAGTTCATGTATATTTGTTTCAGAGGTTCGAATACGATTTACAATTTGGCCGCTTAACATGTTCTGTACTTACTGACTTCAACATATTATTTTTCAATTTACTTTTAACAAAGTAGAAGCTATGGATGTGTTGGTGTAGTTGCTGTGTTTGATAAGTACAAACCTGTCATTTTAAATACGGATGTATGTGGATTCTTAAATGAAATAAATTTATAATATGACTTTAAGTATCACGATACAATGCGATTCTAAGTTCTGTGACTGGAGCTACATATAAGAGTATCTTTTGGGCTTTGTAAATGTAATCAACAAACCCTTTCCATAATCACAAAGGACCCGTGAAGAGCCGGAGTAGAATACCTTTTCAGCTACCAATACTTGCCGTAAAAGGCAACTATCCTTGTCTCAAGAGACGACTAACGGGATCGGGTGGTCAGGCTCGCTGACTTTGTTGATGCATGTCATCGATGCTCATGATATCAATCACTGGATGGTCCAGACTCGATTATCTACAGACCGCCGTCATATAGCTGGAATATTGCTGAGTGTAACGTTAAACAAGCCAACCAAAAACCATAATCACAAAGTAATCTGAAATTGCCAGTCTTTGAAGGGGGCACGTCGTCACCGCGATTCGCTGTGCAGAGTTGTGTCCCTTAAGCACGCCAGAAACCTATGATTGTGGGTTCGAATCCCGGTTCGCCCCGATTATGTCTCTAGGTTTGTCAGCACCATACCCGTGCTCGTGGGTCTGGCTCGCTGACTTGGTTGATACATGTCATCGATCCCAATTGTGTGGATCGATGCTCATGCTGTCAGTCACTGGATTGTCTGGTCCAGACTCGATTATTTACAGACCGCCGTCATATAGCTGGAATATTGCTGAGTGCGATGTTAAACAACAAACAAACAAACAAACATCAGTTATAGATGCACTCGAATGTAAAACACATTGTCAATACAATTTCAATACTCAAAACCCGTTAAATACCCGTTTATACAACAACAGCTTTATAAAAAATATTTCCATGTACGGTACCTAACCAGACACAATACAATCTGCGTCATCAATCGACTTTTCTGCTTAAAATGCTGACATGTTTCTGATGGGCGGAAATCCTTTGGTAAGTGAACCATTTTCACGGATGAAATATTTAATATGCAACCCGTAAAACACAAAACATATGATTGATTATCTACCAGCAGTGTGCCGTATCCGTAGAATTCATTTTTGGTGTGTACTTTGCGACTCTGACGCTGACATTCACACTGAAATAAATAAATCAATATTTCCACAAAGGACACTTAGTACATAGTACTCCAGGAGAAATAGAATGAGGGGTCACAAATGATTCGATCCCGTCTGTGGCGGGGCACATTTGTGACAAATATTTGAATTGTATTTAATGGGGTTTTGGTCCAATGTTGAACATGGTCTACGCAGGTGGTCAAAGGTTATCTCACCTAATATAAGAACCACTGCAGACAGTTTCCAATCGAAATATTTGGGGTATGGACAGGGATGCAACATACCCATGATATTCAATGTTTAGGTCTATTGTATCATGCCATCTGTGGGTACACCCGTCCCGCTTTGACAGCTACGTTGTAGCTACGTTTAATGACGCTCTGATCATTAAGGATAACGTGCTAAATAATATAATTGCTTACCACTTTTGTCACATTCGCTTTGGTCCCCCTTGAGACCAACAGCTTACTTTATGTGGTCTTTTAAAAAACGTTTAACTTTATTGCTAGAATTAAAAATAAACTTGAGCCAAGGTAATATTTATTCAAGAGAAAACATACTTCAGTGTTAATGTCTTGTGTGGGGTATTTGGTGTTTTCTACCCAAAATAGTGCGATTGTGAAACACAAAGTGGAAAGGTGTTTGCAGCTCCATGCCCAACCATCCCTTCCCTGAATGTTCCAAAACTGAACCCCATGCTGCCTTAATACCAAAGTATGTTTAATTACATCGGTACCTATTTCGGGAAACGTATGCACAAACAGTTAATCCTATGTTTCTAGCTACTTTAACACCAAAATCGATTTGGGAGAAAATTGGACCAAGTGGAGTACAATCTTAAAAGGGGCAGTGCTTGTAGTCAAGTTACAATCACTTGCAGTTTAATGACACGACGTCCTGTTTGGGACATCATGCTCATTGTAGTGCACCGCCACTAGCTAACTTCATGAGAAAGTTATTAACTCTTCTGGGTTAATGACATCACTTAGGTGCCTCTAATAGCATTAATAAAAAAAATAGTATGTACTTCAAGGTTTGTGATATCACTTCCGGTTTACGAATTTAAAACGCCAACACCGGATAATCACCAGTCTCTGAAGCAGGTTCCATGGGGCGTAAAGGAAAAAAAGCGGTGAAAATTATGTGAATGGATCACATACATATAGATATCTATACAAACAGGCGGATCAATAGTTATCGCTCACACAGAGGGAAGGGAAAGCATAAATATAAAGTGTAAACGACAGAAATCAAAGTGCAGTGAACAATATATGATATGATCACAAAAAAACAGTGATGACACCAGGTGTTCGCAAGTACGCATGTCTTGCCCTACCGGTAGCACCCGGCATCCACACAATTTGCATAAAAAATGTAAACACATGTCTAAAAGTGAGGTGAAATGGGGTTTAACGTCGCGTCCAAGATTATTGCACTTATATAGCTACGTGCATGTACGTATGTGTGTTTGTGTGGCTGCTTGTACTAGTCCGGACTGATGCCGATTTATAGTGCTAGCTCACTGAGATACCATGCCGCAGTTTAACATGAATACCCCACTCAGACACAGTATACTGACTCCGAGCCGAACAGTCCTTGTTTTAGCCCCTTAATGCCGAGCGCCAGACAGGGTAACAACAAGTTCCATCTTTTAACGTCTTTTGGTATTAATCGAACCCCGGACCTTCCAATCTCCGGGCGGACGCTCTACCACCAGACCACGGAGGCGGTCTCATGTCTAAAGGAAGACAACATAAGACAGAACATGATGTGCTTGTGACTGCATTTCCGGTTTAATGATACCACTTCCGGTTGGATAAAACACTTGCCATGCCTGTAGCTACATCAATAGAGGTCGTGCCCCGGATCTTGGTTGGAACAAGTTAACCTATGCTGGTTGTAACACGGACTCGAAGGATCAGCTGGTCAGACCAGGTGACGTGGTGCAGAGTGACGTCAACTGACGTAAGGGAAATACGTCTAATGGTTTGCTAGTTAGGAAGTTACTGCAAGCGTTTGGCGCGGTGGAATGACAATAACAGACTTTAGAATACAGTAAACTACGGTTATAACGAGCTCAAAGGGACCACTTATTTTAGTTCGTAATAACCGTAGTTCGTTACAAGCATATTTACAGCATATACACAAGAAATGGTCGGGACTAAAATATAATATGTTCGTTATATCCGTCAGTTCGTTATAAACGTAGTTTACTGTATTATAAATGGGATTATGTTCGTTGTCATAGTTAGGACGCGCATTTGCTAGTTACTTGTCTACGCCAGTTATGTGTTTACAACTATCCTTCTTGTCTCTTTCAATTGTTTGTTAAAGTACCCAGACGGCATGGATTGCCTCTCACAATATCAATCACTTGTTCCAGACTCAATTAATTACACGCCGTTTACATACATGTATGAAAAACAACAAAGAAACCAAACACTACAAAATCTGAAAATTATTGAAATTGCCGCACATCATATGAATGTTTTAGATGCCAAGACCATTTTGTTTTTCACAATTCGATTTTTGTTCTTTAACAACATTGTACCTCTAGTATGAAGGAATAAAACGCCAAAAGAAGATAAGGCTGGAATATGGCGCTGTTAAACAACATACACATTACGGAAGTTATATGGTTCGATTCCAATCGGACTCGATGTGAATCTCACTGTATTGACACACATCATATGAATGTTTCAGATTCCAAGACAAATCGATATATTTACACGCCAATTTTGGATTTTCAATTTTTAAGGATGAAAACGTACAACTAAATATAGCTGCAATAATCACGCTCACTAAGGTAGTTATATGGTTCGATTCCTACTTTGCAGGCACAATGGCTATACAGTTATTCATGTCAGTCGCCCTGTCTGATGTTCTTGACACCAGTCTGACACCAGCCATGACAAGCACTTTGTTCAACTGTGTGATACAGTGTTACTCAAGCACTGGATGTTCCTCCATCTTCTACAACAAAGCGACTCACCAATGTGCAGTGTCATCGCACGTATATCGACATGGTGACAGTGTTCTAGCATCTTCCACGGGAATGAAGTTGTACACTTGGAATCAAGGTAGGGGATGAAGCGTTTCCCAAGCTATGTAAATACAAGTCAACATAGATTTACGATTCCGACTATATCATGAGCTCATATACATATAGTGATGATACCAGGTGTTTGCGAAAAGGTGAGCGAATCCCGTCCTATTGATGGCACTCGTCACAAACACATGCAAAGGAAAGTCAATAGTTCACCTGGAAAAAACGAGAACATATGGTATAAGTCAAAATAGGGAAATGTATCGGGCATGATCTTTGTCACTGATTCGTCAAACTTGGGGATGTCTACCATAAAACGTTTTGAAAGCTTAACTGATGCCTTAAATGTTGAAACCTTGATCAACCAATCTTTGAGCTAGAGTCGTATGACGCTGTTTGAAATTTTAGCAGAAAGAGCATGCTCGATTATACATTAAAAGTTGTGAAATGTGGCCACCAAAAAGTGCTCGACATGAGTCAAGTTAATTGTTCACCTGACAAAACATACAAGTATGCTCGGTTGTATCTCAAAGTTGTGAAAAGTAAACACCAAAGGTTAGAGCTGCTGGAATATTGGCCGACATTGAAGGGAAGATTGACTATTGAACATTTGAAGTCATCCCTCTTGTCATACAATCTTGAGGGGAGTGTTTTGTCATTCTGAATCTTTATGCATGGTCCTTAATTGAAACAGATGAGCAAGCCTCCCTGGTCTCCAATATGTCATTAGCAGGTGGGTAAATCAGTGGAAGGGGCGTGGCTATTTGATGGTTATTAAACGATATCAAGTCAAAGTCAAAGATGTTTATTGTATCAAAGGCCATCGGCCCATATACAAGTTCAGATAAATACAGTGGGTGAGAATTTACAGATTGAGAGATACAACAAAAATTATATAAATATAACATTCATTTAACAATCGGTGATAATCATGAGGACTTTCTAGGGTGAGGTAATTAAAATTATGAATTTCCACTCAACATGTTATTTCGTAGTTCCATCCCATGTTTTACAAATAAAGACAGTTTAAACATTACATCGGCATCATTCGATGACAAAATAGAAACAAAAGCTATTCTACTCGTCTTAGATAAGAAACATTCTGGTATATATTTAGTACGTAATTCTGCATAATAAGGACATTCAAAGGTAAAATGTATTTCGTCTTCTATTGCAGAGTTACAGAATGGACAAATTCTTTGTATTCTTTCAAGTGATATATTCCGTCCATAGTTAATCATAAGTTTTGACAAGCCAAGTCTGTATTTAATATATCCATTTCTTAGGTGACTATTTGTTAAAACTGATAGATATTTTTCTGGCTCTAATAGAGTCTTAAATGTTCTGTACAAATCATAACGTGAACTATTTTCCAAGTTGCATTGCCACCCTTGATAGAACATATTTATTGCTATTTTACGAAAATCATTTAGAAATAAATGTTGATCACCAACAGATTGGTTAAGCCATATGTACCCATATCCATGTGAGAATAATAGTGTCCTAATATGCGATACCCATGTAACCTTACCGATACTATCTAAATGAAAGAGCATGTTATAAGCTTTTTTCGGAAGCCGATGTTCTGGCATACGGATGATATTAAACCAATATTTTAAACACTTTATTTGTGAATTAATGTAAAGTGGGTATCTTCCACATTCTCCATATATCATATTATTTGGTGTTGCTATTCCAACGCGAAGAAACTTTTTACATGCCAGTAGGTGAATTCTTTCTAAACATTCATATCTTCGGTAACCCCACACTTCAGATCCATACAATAAAATTGGCTGTATTTGAGTATCAAATAATTTGAAAAATACTTTTGGAGTAATAACTCCAAGTTTATGTGAAACAGACATTTTATTAAGTAAAGCTCGTTTCCCTCGCAGTGATAAGTCAGATACACATTTGTTCATATTTAGTGTTGAATTAAACATTATGCCGAGATACTTATAACCATTAACTACATTAATTTGTTGTCCATTTAAGTACCATCTTTCCCTAAAATTTAAAGGACCCCCTTTTCTGAATACTATAATTTCTGTCTTATCTAAATTTACAGATAAATTCCATTCCTTAGTATATTTATCTAATACATTCAACTGATTCTGTAGACCAATAACAGTGTCAGATAGTAAAATAACATCATCGGCAAAAAGGAGCATAAGAAGTTCAAGGATGTCAGGATACATCTGTATACCATGCTTGCCGTTACTTGAGATTTCATAATATAATTCGCTTATGAAAAACGAAAATAACAGAGGACTCAGTATACATCCCTGACGTAAACCAGATGGGCAATCGATAAAATCAGTAACACCATAATCACTACGTACACATGACTTGATATTTGAATACATTGATTGTAGTATATTAAACATCTTCCCTTGTAGTCCAGCTTTTCTTAAACAACACCATAATTTATAACGATCAACTGTATCAAATGCCTTTTTAAAATCAATAAAAGCAACGTAAACCTTGTGTTTACGACGTGTTAGACATTTTTTGAATTGCAGCATATAATGTAAAAATATGATCTATGGTTGAATAATTTTTTCTAAAACCAGCTTGAACTTCCGGTATCTTATCTCTCATATTCGCCCAGTTAGTAAGCCTGTTATTCAAAACAGAGGTAAAAATTTTCCCCAGAACACTCATTAATGAGATCCCCCTGTAGTTGTCAGGGTTTCTCGGATCGCCTTTTTTATGTAGAGGGACTATTTCTGAACAAGACCAACTGTTTGGAAATATTTGATTATCAAAGAGTTTGTTGAAACATTTATGAAGAAATGGCATAATATCTAATACGGAACATTTAAGCATTTCTATCAGCACTTGATCGGGCCCGGCGGATTTTCCTTTTTTAAACTTATTTATTGATGATGTAATTTCATGTTCAGTTATCGTAGAATTTAGTATGAATGCATCAATATCTGTAAACTGATTAGAACTGAGTTCATTTTCATCATCTAAGTGAGGAGAAAAAACATTGTCATTTGCAAAAACCTCTCTAAAATGGCACAGCCATTCTGCTTTCGTTATATGATTCTTCTGTCTGGGTTTGTTTTGTATGATCTTATCTGTTTCCAAAAGCTAGATTGACTATTTATGCTTCTATGCAATCTTTCAACTGATTTCTTACGTGAAATGGATTTAAATTTTCTGCAACAAAATTTATAATGATTTCTTTGTCTACAGTACACAATTCTGTTAGCGACTGTTCTTTGTGTTCTAAATCTCCTAAGTGCCCTACGTGTTTCTCGTTTCGCTTGTCTACATTCTAGACTTAGTGGTTTGTGATTGGCAAATTGTGGATTATGTCGTATTGTCTTTTTCATGCAGCTAGCAGAGTCTAATACAATGTCGACAAAGTGGCTAATTGCGTTTGCAATAGCATTATCAATTTCTTTAAGGACCATTTCTTTGTTTTCAGTAAAATTATATCTCAGGTTATCAAGAAACAAACTGGAGTAATGATCATTCCATACAATTTTTCTCTGATGCTTGTGGATCCATACATGAATCATTGTTGCACCTCTTACCCATATTTGGAAATCTACACATCAATTCTAATGGAAAGTGATCAGAATCAGATCGATCACCGACAGTGAACATATTGATAAACTGAAAAAAATCTGGTGAACTTATAAAATAATCGTTCACACTAGATCCATGTTGGCTACAATAAGTAAATTCCCCATTAGTATCACCATATACACGTCCATTTACGATGTAAAGTTTAAAAACATAGCATAGATCCAACAACATTTGACCAAATCTATTTACAACTGTATCCTGTGAAGTACGATCCTCAACAGGGTCATCCTCCTCCTCAGGGAAAGGGGAGGTGTGATTGAAGCTATCATCATCATTGCTAATATCAGGGTTATTTCTCTCACCTGTTCTCGCGTTCATATCTCCACAGATTAAATTGTATGAATTTGAAAACATTTCATCATTATCTATTAAGAATTCTTCTACTTTTACGATGTTACTATTGGTGTTTACATGATTATAATAAGGAGACCCCATTGGAGGGATATAGGTACATAACAAATTCACATTTTTGTCAATTCTAAATAAATCTTTAGATAACGAGAGACCAATTATGTTGTCTCTATCTGCTTGTATAACATTACAGAAACTACTCAGTGATTGACGTACACACAGACAAATACCACCTGATAAACGTCCATAGTTGGATAACTTAACTGCAGGACAGTAAAAAGTATCATATCCATGTAGCCAATGTTTTCCTGGAATATTTACAACAAATGTCTCAACAAGGCACACAATATCAAATTTAATGATGTAAGTTAAAAAGTCAACATCATTTATTTTGCCGAGAAGACCACCAATATTCCAACATACAAAGGAGAACGCGTCTCTGTTGACATCAGTAACACTGTGAGCGCGAGTATCACCGGTGTGCACATCAGAGGTTCCTTGTGGGAGATGATCCGGGCCATGGCCATTGTGCTATTTCCCAGGGCGCGACTTACTTCTGTTTGGTCGAAGTCTGTCCGACATTCGGTTTTCTGAGTCTTGATTTGTAGATCCACGTTGGTCAGCCGACGTACGAGGCATCGTAACAAGCTTGCCATTCTTGAAGAAGCCGAAATTTCCCGTTCCTTTTAGGGCTTGCAATTGTTCGCGTTGACGCGTGGTTAAATCACTTCCAATTCCAAGTCCATTCGATTTAAATGTCGCTCTGGCTTTCAATGTTCGTACCTTGTCGTCGGAGAGTACCAGTTTTGCAATTATTGGTCGTGGTCTTTCACTACCAGGCTTCTTCACACCGATGGGCGATGGGCGCGTGCAACGTCAGTCGGTTGCCAAGTTTTGAATGTTGCGTTTTCATTAAGTACGGCGATCGCTTTTTCTTCACAGGCTATAGATTTTTCGCCTTCATCTTCATCAACACCATAGATAATGATATTATCTCTTCGGCTAAACGACTCGAGTTTATCAAGTTCAACATCAATTTGCGAAAGTTTGTCATTTATGATATCCACTGTCTCAGCAACCGAATCGACGTCAGATTGCATTACGTGGTTCTCAGTTTCAATTTTCTTCATGTCTGATTTCAGTTCCGAAACTGATTTTTCTAGATTGTCACACTTAGTTCCGATACTTTTGACTTCTGTTCTTAGATTAGAAATGTCGTTACCTAGGTCGGATTTGACGTTTCTCAGTTCGGTAAGGATTGCTTCTTTTATGTTGTTAAGATCTTGTAGGGTAACAGGCCCGGGGTTTGTCTCCACGTCATTTGCACACAGTAGCATAAGCGCTATGACACGCTTGGGTAGCATGTGCTCGGGGTTTGTCTCAACCTGATTTGTAGACAATAGTATAAGAGTCATAACACGCTTGGGTAGCTCGTGCATCTCACCTGGATCGCATACATTTCGTGTATGGGTCAACATCATGCAGTATGTGTTTGACGTGACGTCACCAAAGGTGTTGGGTGATACCTTGTTCAAATCACCAATAATATTATGATGATCATATGTTAAGTCAACAAAGTAGCTTGCAAATATCCTGTGATATTTAACACATAACGTTCCCAAACCCATGGTTAGACTGCAGACAATAGCCACACTCAGAAGTCGATATGCGAAGCTCATACCTGGTGTCCATCTTGTCTCACCTGTGTAGCGTTCAACCTTGTCGACGTTTCTATGTCCACGGGGAGGGATGAAACACCCGATCCTTGCTCGCAAAACATCGAGCGTTATACCCAGATCAGATCATCGATATACCTGAAGCTTAAGTTAAACTTCTTGGCCAAATAAACTTGTTTGGACTGACATAAATTTCGAAACAGATCAGCAAAATCAGCGAGAAGGGGAGCACAATTGGTTCCCATGGGGATGCCTATTTCTTGGTAAAATATCTTCCCCACAATTTGTATACGGATGTTACTTTGGTCAAGAAGCCGAAACATTGCCGATGTTAACTCACACTCGTATATTACATTCCCCTAAATCCAAGCTATATATATATATGGTGGTATGAATGTATGTATTGTCATGAAACAATATTGTTTACTTCTGCTGTACTTAGTTGTGAGAGGGATGACAATAACAGTTTTATTTGGATGTGGGGGGCACGGGTGGCCCAGTCGTCTAAGGCGCCGCGATTCGCTGTGCAGAGTTGTGTCCCTTAAGCACGCAAGAAACCTATGATTGTGGGTTCTAATCCCGGTTTCTAAGTTTGTCAGCAACATACCCCTGCTCGTGGGTTTCACCGAAGTGGTAAACGTCTGAGACCTGCATCACTTCTGGCTTTCTTCCCACATTAAGCTGACACGCTGCGATATAACTGGAATACTGTTAAAAGCGGCATTAAACCCAACTCACTCACTCACTATTTGGATGTGATCAAGCCTCCGGCTGATTGGATCTAATGACCAACTCATTACATCTTTTATTATCTATTATCTCGTTTATATTTCACTTAATCAATAAAAGTCTCTCTTTTAGCTGGATGTCCGTTATCAGCGGGCTGGGTTTACCACCGTCCCTCAAATCTCTGCTACAAGCTCAGTGATTACAAGGTGGACATAACTACGGCGGAGACCGCGTGCAGAGATGCTGGAGCGAGACTTGTTGTCGTTGACACCGCCGAGAAGAACGCTCATCTCCTAACATTACATCCGACTTCAGGTGAATATGAATGCTGCTCAGCCAGCAAAGATTATAGGCAGCCTTACTTTGTTTCTTTAACGCCGCCGCAGAACCTCCATGTCGGGGCACGATCACAAGATATCCACTCAGTCACCCAGCTACCAAAGTATTTTGCCAATACCAGGATTTTATTGTCATGTCGCGATTTATTATTTTAGGACTATGAGCAGAAACTTTACATAACGTTTACAAAACCCAATCTTAAAATATTTACACTACAATACACTACACATTCATAGATGCTTTCAATTTTCTTATGACCTTATGTCATGGCACGTTGTCTGTTGTGAATTCGTTTGGTTGTTCGCACGTCTTGAACTTTTACATGGGTCACAGCTCCTCGAAAACTCCAAAGCATATAAAGTTGAAACATTGCAAGAATGGTCTCAGCTATAGTATCTCTAAATCGTGGACATCGAATCTCGATCACATATTATACATGGCATCCACGTCAGCCATATTGAAACCATCAGTTTTGCATATTATGAAATTTTATATCCATACCATATGTTATTGGGCTTATATCTGTGTTGTATACCTCTGTTGTTAGCTTTGTTTATGCGTCTTTGCTCATGCATTATGCACACCTTCGCAGATAACAAATTTTGTTTTGTTGCATATTGCGACGTTTCGATGTACAGTAAACTACGGTTATAACGAACTCAAACTGACCACAAATTTTAGTGTGTTATAACAGTAGTTCGTTATAATAATATATACAGCATATATACAACAAATGGCCGGGACTAAAAAAAAGTTCGTTATATCGGCCAGTTCGTTATAAACGTGTTCGTTATAATCGTAGTTTACTGTAGATTCTTAAACCATTATCACGCTGGAGTGACAAAAAGCATGAGTGATGAGTGATAAGAGAGCATGACATGTTGTGATAAGCAGCAGATAAACATTGACAACAGCAAGTAATAGTTAACGAGTAGCATATACTAGGAGTTAATTGGATGAGGCCAAATGTACAGTAGGAACAACAAATAGAACACAGGTAATGAAGCACACGGGTAATGAAGCCAGATGTAGGATAAGGATAAGGATTCAAAGTATGAAACAGTTGTGACAAACTGAGTGGATCTTGGCTGATTAGTTATGTTGAACAGAGGTTTGTAATGGCGGATTTCAATAGCTTCTGAGAGTTTTCTTTTGGTGTGAAGTCCTGATATTGGTTGAGAGGATTTGGACTTTGTCGAAATGAATTTGACGGCTAGGGGTGTTTTGCTGGTGGTCTAAGAAGGCTGATTTGCCGTCTGTATGGCTGTTGAAGTCTTATGTTCTTTGGTGCCGGTATCTACTTGGCGGGAGGTTTCACCAATGTACGAGTCACCACAGTCACAGTTGATCTTATAGATTACTCCTTTGGGGGCTGCTTGTTGGAGTGTTGGAGTCGGGGTTGCGGCCATTAACTAGTAAGATGGTTCTTTGCGATGGGGAGCCAGTGAAGATGGTGTATGGGGTAGATGCCTGCTTGGTGCTTGTTTGATGAGAGGCCTTGCCAGTGAATGGTAAGGTGATTGTGATAGGGCGGATGATGGACTTGTCGGTGTAGGTTTGGGCTAGAGTGTGGTGGAGATGGTCTACTTGACTAGCTTGGTCGCGTTCTGGTTGAAATTGGTGTAGACTTAGTTTTCAGGGTTGGATAGAGTTGATAACTTAAGCACCAAGCAGGCATCGACAGCATCTTCACTGGCTCCCCATTCTTTAGAACCACCCCCACCGCCAATCAAACACTCATGCATGACCTTTTTGATCTAATACGATGACTGTGCAGGAATAGGAGGACCAGTAAATGACAACTCATTCGTATGCAGCTATTAAGTGTGAATGCCAAGCATAACATAACGACAACTGAATGGGAAAATATGGGCGCAGCTTTATTACATGGCGGAAGTCACGACAGGTTTTGATACTGAACACCGACCTTACAAAGATGGGCAATTCAGAAAAATACAGGGTACTATACAAAGGTACAGGTTGTACACTTATCACACACACAAAGTTAACTTGCTATTGCATCCGAGGTTGATATGCACATCGTTATGCGGGAGCAACAGTAAACATCATGACCAAATGGGCCGGAATATAATACAAGGACAAACACACACACTGAATACCCTCCGTGGCTACACACAACGTGAGGTTCAGTTAGTCCTGCGATGAACAATTACACACCCTGTGTACCCTCTGTGGATACACACAACATGAGGGTCAGGTTAGCTGCAAACTTTTTGGTAAATACTTTACCATCCGTGGTTACTCACAACGTGAGGTTCAAATAGTCCTGTGGTGACAAACCATTATGTCACATATTTGGTACGCCTGCCATGACCCCCGCCACTGGACTTGCTTTATAGCAAGTTCATCCCACCCACTGAACCTAAGATAATGCAACAGCGTCATGGCATATATCTAGTTTTGGAATACAAGCACATCAGACCTAGCAATGAAATTCTCCAGGCCTCCCTGCAATGAATTTAGAAAAATGACATTTCCAATGTCTGAGAGGTGAACGCCGTCCTCCCTGAACAAACTTTGAACAGATACAGTAATTTCTGAGTGTCCAATTGCACAGCCTCCTTTGCTGAGAACCGCTTTTCTGCCAAATCTGTTGTATCGCTTTTGCTTCTTCTCCATTATCCTGCCATCAGAGATGCCTCTCCATGTAACCCGCTGTAGAATGTCAGACCATATCAACACAGTAGCCGGCATCATGGATTGCAGCTTTTGCAAATCCTGGTTGACCGTGTCAAGTAAATGTTGAGTTGCAGTGTCGCCAAGATTGTTTGATCCCAAGTGAATAAGAAGCCACGCGGGTGGAGGATACGTGTCTAACTGCTGCGTAATGAAAGGAACTAAAGATCCCCACTTCATTCCCCGTCTCCCGTACCACCTAACTGTCATGCCATGTTGCTTTTTCAGTCCAAGATTTAAACCCACTGGCCTGGTAACTGCTCTCCTGTGTGCCCAGTATATGAGACTGGATCCAACCATCCAAATTTCTGAATAACATTAAGGGTAAATTAATATCATTTACATGTTAAGCCTTATGTATGTAGAGTATGCCCCAGACTTCCACCTGCCCCACATGCATATCACATTGTCTGATATGCCAACTCTTGATGCATGGGCAGATGCTCCTATTCTAAAAGAATGTGATTTGAAGTGTTGAGCGTCAACGTTGAGACAGTTCAATGCTTTCTGAAGGACAGCTGAAAACTGGTACCTTGTCACTGGGGTACCATTCAGATAGATGAAAAACTGTGACGGTTGTGATGGACGATATGTTAGGTATCTGTTGATTGCTCGAACTGAGCAGCTGATTGGGTCTGTTTTTGGGGGGATAATCAGTGTCGTACCCCTACCAAGTTGATCGGTTTTTGAAAAACGAACTCTTACATGTAAGGCTCCCTGAACAATGGCTACATCTTGGAACTGAAGAGGTCTATCACGGTCCCTTTTAGAAACAAGTGCACTTTCTCCTATCCGAAGAAAACCAAAAAAGGCAAGATTGAACAAAGCTGTAAAAAGGCATGACTCATTATCTGATTTACACACATGGTTGAGGGCACCAGAAAGTTTTATCAGTATATCAAGGGTTATTGGTTGACGGATATCTTGTGTACAGTTTTCCTTTCTATATCCCTGCATGCACTTTCTCACCAGGGATTGGTCAGTAGGGTCAAGCCAGCAATTCACTTTATGATGTCTTGCGAGTGCTGACAGATGAAGTGCTTTTGAACTAGAATAAGTTTTTCAAGAAATGTCTGCTATGTAGCATAATATGTGATCCACAGTTGCTGGCCATATTTGAGGGATGTTAAGTTCACTCCTAAATTGCATAAATGATCTTACTGCTGCTCCATAGGTCTGGCGTGTGTTCGATGAAAGTGATGCTTCAATCATTGTAAAAGCTTCAGATTGTAGATGATCCAAAGATTGTCTGGAACTTGAGTCGGGTTGACAGCATCATTTGGTGCAAGGCAGCGGAAACGCTAAAGCTGAGGACGAGAAAGTGCATCAGCCACGCCATGTTCAGAACCTGGGATGCACTCTCCCTTAATTAACAGGTTGATTTAGAGACAGTGGAGAACAAACTTTCGAACATACTGCATGGTGTCCTTGCATTTAGTAGTTTGCCTATTCAGTATAGAAACAACAGCCTGGTTATCACAGTTGATAATTAATTTCTTACCACTGAGTTCTTCTTTCGAAACATTAACTGCTACAGAAATTGGGAAAAACTCGAGCATTGTAATGTTCTTTGTCAAACCCCTTTCGTGCCAGTGATTAGGCCAGGATCCTCGCGTCCAGCTTCCATGAAAGAATGCTCCGAAACCTCCTGACTCACCACCTGCGCTGTCCGTGTACAGCTGTAGCGAAAGACTGCTGGTCCCGAAGGGATCCAAAAATAGTGATGTACCATTGTGATGTTTGAGAAATTCTAGCCAAATATGGAGATCTTCCTTCATCGATTGCGTGACCCGGATCTTGTGGTGGGCTCGCTTCAGTCCACATGTGGCATCTATGGTCCTACGCAAGAATGCTCTACCAATTGGGATAGCTCTGCAGATGAAATTAAGAGAACCTAGCAGACTTTCTACTTGCATTTTTGTGCCTTTGCTTTTAGCTTTAATGAACTCTAACTTCTCCATTGCTTCCAATAGCTTTTCCTGGGGGATGCTAATCAGCATTGTGACAGTGTCCAGCCTAAATCCAAGGAAGTTTAGAACTTGTGTTGGGGTAACTGTTTTGTCTCCTGCAATTAGAACGCCTAGCGTTTCACAAACTGACAAAAATGTTGAAAGTGCTTCCGGCAGTCTGACTTGTCCAGACTGCTGCCACCAAATAGGAAGTCGTCAAGATAATGCATCACTTCCCCCTGACACTGAATCCTTGTCTCAACGACCCACTGGAGAAATGTGGCAAACTTTTCAAATATGGAGCAACTCATACTGCATCCCATAGGCAGAGCCTTGTCAATGTAGAACTGATTTTGAATGTAATTCCCAACAGTTGAAAATCTTGTGGTGATACCATGCATAACCGGAATGCATTCTTTATGTTTGCTTGTGCCAAATATGTTATAGTGCCTAAATGCTGTATAATCCTAATGGCATCATCAACTGTTGAATTGTTTACTGAACATAACTGAGGACTGATAAAATCATTAACTGATGAACCCTCAGGGAATGACAAGTGATGAATTAGTCGATATTGCCCGATTTCCTTCTTTGGAACAATCCCTATTGGAGAAACTTTGAGATTTGAAATTGGCGGTACTTCAAAGGGGCCCGACATCCTGCTGAGTGATATTTCTTTGTTGAACTTTTGAAGGACTATGTGCTCCATACCCGGATCTCTGGCTGATTTCAAATTTTGACAATGTGTGCTAGCCTCCCTGGGCCCTTGGTACTGTAAACTAAAACCATTAGAAAAACCATCACTTAAAATAAATGCATCTTCCTTGTGTGGATACGTCTCGAGTAGACATCTTAGGTTATCGAGCTTGACTGGACTATAACCTAGGGCCTTGAGGGCTTCTTTGGATCTGAAAAGGCATACTTTCCTTTGCATTTAGTGTAGGGGTGGCCACCGCCACAATTGTAGCAGACGTGGGAATCTGCAGTTTTGCCTGCGACAAAATTTGCCTATCTCGTTAAAATCCCAGCAATAGCCCACTTTAGGGGAATTAGCAGCTTGTGAGAACAACCCTTTCTTTGACTGGAACGAAAATAACGATTTGCAGGTTGATTCATGTATAATGACCAGAGTTCTGTATGGAAACTTGCCCAAGACATAGTGGATCTAGCCATGCGAAGTCTGAACTGCCTGTCATACTGTGCCCATCCTTGACCCCTACTAGCAGCTAGTCTGATCGTGTGCATGTACTTGAGTATGTCTTGGTGTTTTCCTGGGAACTGCTCAAGATAAACAGATGAATATACAACGAAAGCTGATGTCAATTCCTCGATAGACTGAATTTCCTTAGTTTGCCGAGCCATTTCAAGTTGACCATTTGAGTTGAACTTAATTGTACCATCATTACCGTTGTCCTTGTCCAAACCTTTGAGCAATGTGGTCAGTTCAATAAACTCGCCATTCTTTATTTTGTCCCTTACCCCCTGGGGAACGAGATAACCCACATGGTCAGATGAGATTGGTGCCATGTCGTCTGGTGTAATAGGCATGTGATCATAATTAGGCCTATCATTAAAACATGTGTTCGCTGGCCTATGCGAGTGGGGCTGGAAAATGTAGTATTGTGAACCGTATTTACGGGCAAGTCAATAATAACATCAGACGATGGAACGGGATTTACGATATAATGATGTAAAGTGAGTTCACCTGACATTGCCGCCTTGCTCTGCGATGTTTGGCGCCATGTTGTCTGGCTGGCTTGTAACCTCGCTGACTGTGGCGGATGCTCGCTGGGTTGTTGACTGCCTCGCCGCTTTACCTTGTCTCGAACCACCTGACAGTGTAGTGGGCCGTAACTTCCTTCTTCGACCCTTCGGTTATTTAATACGCTCGGTTATGCACCCAGATTCACTGGGTTTACAGTCAAAGGGAAGTAACTCATGATTTTTTTGGTGGTAGAGCGCCTAACCTCTCACTTAGACAAATTTGTTGCAGACAGGCTTACACAAATTAGATTTTGTACGACCTCATATACTGAGTGTCATTAACCGCGCTTGAGAGTGTAGTCCATAACGAGGGAGCTATAGTTTTTCCTGCTGTGCTTTAATCATTGCAAGGATCATAATTTTACTTATGCCTATTTTGCAGCTTGATGTTGATGTCCTGCATCACTTTTGTGGTGTTACATATATGCTACTAGGAATATGGACTGTGTGATAACACCATGTGTTTGTGCATGTACGTCAGTTTGCCCTGTTTTGATTATAGAAACATGTATATATTTTTGTTTATATCCTGTCAAGCTGTTTTACACTACACATTCATTGATGCTTTCAATCTAAATTTTCTTTTCTCCATGGGACACATTTCAGCTATTTGCGCCTTTGCTATATGTCTGAAATATTGCCAAGGCGACATTTAATACCAACTCACTCTTATTTCGAATAAACAACAAGTTCAATATCCTATTGGGTTTTACAGTTGATCGTTCTTGGATTGGGCTTCGCAAAATCTCTGGAACTTGGAAATGGAGCAATGGAGAAACACTTGGGCCTTTCAATGCCTGGAAAAGAGATCATCCACACAATGGCAAGGAGTGTGGAGTTTTGTCAGGGTACCTTCAAGGATGGTCATCATTTCTTTGTCTAACTGGTACTAATATTAACTATATATGTGATAAAGAGGTCAATTCTTATTCACGTCTTAAGCTTAAGACGTTAAAGTGAAAACAGAAATGTAATGTTTTGCATTTGGCGCATTAGTTTCTTTGTTCCTTAGAATGAAATCACGTGCGATCTCATGTAAAAGCCACACAGATTCTGATGTCATTAAATCTGTGAAACATATTTCCGCCTCAACAAGACTACACACTACACGAATAAAAACAATTTCTTGACGTTTGGAATAGTATGGGCCTTATTCCAATTGCATATATTGCACTTAAAGTAAGTGATTTATGTAGCAAGAACATTTCCGAAGAAATCAAGCTCCCAAACACAACATTGTTACAGTCATGAAGCACGTGACCTCGGACAGCACATGCAAAGGGTGGTATGCCAGATTTCCGATTGTCACTCAGACTCAGACACTTTAATAAACATATTTGATAATTAAGGAAGCAACAGTATTGATTATGCGACGTTTGCAACGTGTTAAAAGTTTACGTGCGATAGGCATGTGGCAGGTGGGCACATGTCAGAATAATGTTGCCCAAACGCTGCATGTTTTCTAATCTGTCATCAGCAGTCCCTTACCAGAGCGTAGTGACACAATTATATTTCATGAGTGCGTATACGATTTGAAATAAATATAACTTGGAAAGTTTACTATTCTCAAACCATATACGGCGTTAGACGTTAGAAATTAGACATTTCCCTCAATTCTACAGAAATAAATAGGAAATTGTACAATTTCAAATGACTTGCAGAGTCACGTTTGGCACATATGAATTGCGAAGTGCTTGGATAAATAGAAGCCGATACGTGAGTTGTGTGTCATTTCATTTTCCTTTCATTGCCATATACAGGTATATGTATCAAATTTCAATCGAACCGTATGAAAAAATTGAAACATAAGGAAAGACAACTAATATTAAATATGAACGGTGTTTCCCTACACAGTCTTTAAACGAAATAAAGGCTCGTTATAGTAGAAATAATTAATTGCAAGAGGCATTGAGGAAGATAAATCTTAAGCTTGTTTCTAACATTATACTATAGTGGACCATGTGAGGAAGAATTATTGCGAGAGAAACATTATGCCTTCAGTGCAAATAAACACTAAGGTTTTAGATTAAGTTAACATTGATGAGAAACTCATATATTCCAAGATAAAATTCATGTGAAGCTTTTGCTGGCACTGTTGGGTTAATAATAATATGTATTGTACCGCCATTTTAGTTATCAGCAGAATAGTATATTCAGTGAGAGGTACGGAATAACAATGCAGTCAAATGGAATCTTAAGATTTTGTTGTTTGTGTGTTGTTTAACACCGCGGTCGGTAAATAATAAAGTCTGGACCCGACCATCCAGTGATTGACATCGTGAGCAACGATCCACGCAATTGGGATACGATGACATTTATCAACCAAGTCAGAGAGTCTGACCACCCAATCCCGTTAGTAGCTTCTTACGTGTGCCATACCGTTTTGCATTGTAATTAACCCTGTAATATAATTTGTTTGTTTGTTGTTTAACGCTAGACTCAGCAACATTCGGGCTATATGACGGCGGTCTGTAAATAATCGAGTCTGGACCAGACAATCCAGTGATTGACATCGTGAGCATCGATCCAAGGTAGCTTCAACGTGAGCAATATCAAAATTGAAGTCTGTGTGAAGGTTGTCATTATCTATGACTGAGACAAATTGAATAGGTTCACGGTGTCCCAAAATCACTTTGGGCTTTCCTCCCACATTTTAATTAAGCTGACGCGCCGTGATATAACTGCAAGACTGTTCAAACATACACCCAGTGCAGTACATATTGCAACAGAAGGTCTGTATGCCACTTTAATCATAAAGTTATATGTCTTCCAATTTAACGACCTTGACCCTCGTTTCAGCTGTAGATGAAAACATTGTCACTAGTTTTGACAATATGTCATACGAACACTGGGTTGGTTCAAAGCATAAAGAGGTGGGTGAGGTGAAATGGGGTTTAACGTCGCGTCCAAGATTATTGCACTTATATAGCGACGTGCATGTACGGGTGTGTGTTTGTGTGGCTGCTTGTACTAGTCCGGGCTGATGCCGATTTATAGTGCTCGCTCACTGAGATACCATGCCGCAGTTTAACATGAATACCCCACTCAGACACAGTATACACCTAGGGGGAGTGTATGATGGCATGCAGTCAACCATGGTTTACTAGGGACCAGTTCTAATCCGGAATCCCAACTGGGTCAACCTTTCACTACATTTGCAGTATTTAAACAGTATTCACATCATCTAACTGCATGATAGTGTTTACTGTGTGAAAATGTTCACTCCGTCTCTGGAAGAGTTACATCGCGATATATTAATTACCTTCCGGGCAAAAGAAAGCATACATTTGAAAACAGAATTTGTCCAAAGAATTACAAAACTTAAACGTTACTAGGCTGAAAGCAACCATCGAAATACTGCAAACTTACCGTAATACGTATCAAATCAGCACCGTTTAATAACTATTTATTGTTTATGTCATTTTTAGCCACGATGAAACATGGGTTATGCTTTATTATGCGCGGAACTTTATATTGCGATTGCATTCACTATCTTGGAAGAATCTTGCAATGGTATACTTGTAATATTGCCATATTGTGGCGTAGAACATCCCTCACTCACTCACTCACTCACTCACTCACTCACTCACTCACTGCAAAACCTTTTGTGTGATGCAGCAATAAAACAACATTATTTCGCTCACAGGAAGAGCTTGAAGAGATAATCAGCTTGGTGAAGAATACATGAACAGAGAGAGAGAGAGAGAGAGAGAGAGAGAGAGAGAGAGAGAGAGAGAGAGAGAGAGCGAGAGGGACCTACCCACACAGGCAGACACACCACTCGCAGACACACACAGACAGGCACACACATATACACGCACATGCACAGTTAAACCACCCAGACACACAGAGAGACACACACACAAACACCAGACACATATACACGCACAGTCAGACACACATACTCACACACACATACACCCACCCACACAGACAGAAAGTTACATACACACATACACCACGCACAGACACACACAGACAAACATACACCACTCACAGACACACAGAGACACAAACAGACACACACACACGCACAGACACACACACACAGTGATTGAACTCTAGGCACCGTGTTTTGATGATTGTTTTGGTTATCGATGACACACTTGTTTTATTCATTAAGTTTGAATCATTGAAGCCGTATTATTTAGTTCTTCCTACATGTGCATACCTACATAAGGTGCTTGTACCCTACGGTTGTTGTCACGCCACCATGAAACCAAATAGTCCCGTGTCCTGACTTACCACACTCAACATGCATCATGAGCAGAGAGGCCATGTCCGTCATCTCCTCTATTGTCAGGGACGTACAAATCACCGCAGGATAGGTACTCTTGTGTTATGCTGTGAAGAAAACGGTCATGTTATGAACGTCGTTTTACTGTCCAAATGGTCCTTAACATTAAGCGAACCTTTGTAATGTCGTCATGGAAAGCTAATGGAACGTGAACATGAAAGTTCAATTTGATGATATACATCTGTTGTAGGGCGACCACTTACAAAATAGACACAATTTATGGATAACAACTTCTTTACTGCTGTGAAGGCGACGTTTCTGTATAGATCCTTATACCTTTATCAAGCAAGGATCTAGACCGAAACGTCGCCTTTACAGCAGTAAAGAAGTTATTGTCCATAAATTAAGTCTACTTTGTCATTCGTCAACTTCTAAGTAATGCCTATTAAATACTTATCAGCTGACTTATCGGTTTCTCATAGAATTTGAGTGATTGGATTGGGTTTAATTCTGCTTTGAACAGTAGTAGTGCAGTTATATCACTGCGTGTCAGCAGACTGTAAAGGACAAAGTGGGGATGCAGGTTATAGACATTTAACACATCGAAACCAATGAGAGTGGTTATGGTGCCGACACACCAAGCTTCAGGGTCATTATTGCGACGAGTCTTGGCTTCAAACCTAAAAACCGCGTACCCTGGCTGGTTTGACAACTTCACCCGTGCAACCTCTCCAGTAGGTAAGAAATGGCATGTTGAATGTCACTGTCACTATAAAACACTATATTTTGAATTATTCTTGCTCAACAGGCAACTTTGATTTAAATATATAAACCTTTATTCCTGCAATATTATCTATTCATTTGTGCACACAATGTTGATATTACAGGAGCAGGGACATATAACCAAGAATCTGCGGTTCGAACACACAACCAGCGGATCCCGGGATCGCTGAGACACACGCACACGCACACGCACACGCACACGCACATGCACACAAACACGCACACACGCACGCACGCGCACGCAAGCACGCACGCACGCAAACACACACACACGCACACGCACACGCACACACACCGATTGAACACCGTGTTTTGATGGTTGTTAGGTTATCGATGATACACTTGCCTTATACATTTAATCATTGAAGTCGTACCATTTAGTTCCTCCTACATGTACGTACCTACATAAGGTGCTTGTACCCCCTACGGTTGTCGTCATGCCACCATGGAACTCACGCAAGCAGACAAAACTGTCGCAGTCTTGACCAATCACCACATTCCCTATTCCTGAAGAAGAAGGCTATTGTTGTATGTACAAGTGTAACCACAGTGTGCTTTGGTTTGTTTTTTGTTTGTTGTTTAATGCCGCACTCCAGCAATATTCCAGCTATATGACGGCGGTATGTAAATAATCGACTCTGGTCCAGACAATTCAGTGAGCATCGATCCACGCAATTGGGATCGATGACATGCATCAACCAAGTCAGCGAACCTGACCACCCGATCCCGTTAGTCGCCTTTTACGGCAAGCATGGGATGCCGGAGAGCTATTCTACCCCGGAATCTTCACGGGTCTTTTGAGTAAGGGCGTCATTCATTATTTTGGAAGTTAAAATGGGGTTAAGGTTGCGGCCCAAGAATACTGAACTTCTCTAGCGACGTGCATGCGAGTGTGTATGCTTCTGCGTGCGTGCGTGCGTGCGTGCGTGCGTGCGTGCGTGCGTGCGTGCGTGCTTGTCTGTTTGTTTTATCCCGGACTAATGCCGGTTATATTCGTAGCCACCTGAGACACAATGTCACTATCAAGCTTTCATAATTAACCGAGGTTAGTACTGCAGGAGTTATCGCTGAT